TTACACAAATTCAAACAACTTTCTGAAGAACACTAGCGTTCACTCCTTACCACGGTAGAACCGATCGCCACCCCAGCAGCAGTAGATGCCATTTGTCCAAACAGTCCTGGCTGTTGTGGTGAAGCCGGCTGAGCCACGCTAGAAGCTGGTCTATTTGCTGGCACACTAGAAACTGGCCGCGGAGGTGCTCGGGGCGGCGCTGATGCCTTACCAAACATAGGAGATGATCGGCCACTTGATCGTCTTCCACCACGAGGCATTTTTATGAAATCTTATATCAACTAACTTCGTAAAAGTACCATTAACTTATGTAATTTATTAGAATGAAACAAAATGGCGTCGACTTCTGATGCAAACTCAGCCGTAATTGGCTCATCATGACGTTACCTTCCCAGGTATCATTGTTCCAGATAACTTGTCCCCAATCTTCTCTCAGTAAAATTAGACGTTACTGTTGCGTTACTTTTCAGAATTCATAATCGTGTATTGTAACTAGCTTATAAATATACTCTGCAAGTAGGGAAAATGATTAAAACGCTTCAATTATAACGTCCTTTCCAAGAGCTTTTATTATGACAGAGGTTTGTTTTAAAAATGATCTCTCAACATCTGCGATCAAACACCTCGGATCGGAGTCAGTGAAGTTTCACAAACGAAAATAGATAACGGTCTTTCAATATTCTTTTAATCATATGTACAGTTTTCTTATTGAATTTCTTTCAATCCGTTTATCACTTACCCGTAAATTGGCTTTAAAAAGCTCTCCAGGGAGAAACTACATAAAACAGTTATTTGCCTCAAATAATACTTTGATTAGTTGTTATGGCAACAGTGAGTAAAATGGTCAGTCCATGTAATCGAGGCCTAGCACGGCTGAAGAGGCATTCGACAGACGTGAAGGATGATTAACTATCAATGTTTATGACTTTAGCGGAGTGTCTGCACCCTAAATTATGGAAGAAGGATCGGAAAGGATTTCTACACCGATCCGCTCACCTTCAGAAAAAGATTCTGTAATTCTTAGCCGTGCCAGTGCGGCCAGTTCGCCCTTTGGCTTTCGCAAGGTAATTGTATACGTTCAAATTAAGGTAACCTCTAGGCAGCTTTCAGAGGTTGTTAGGCACTAAAACATTGAAAATGTTTTGATGGATTATAGGCTGCGCTCAGCCCTCCGACTGGTATTTTACGAAGAGAGTCCACAGGGTCTTTATCACCCGAAGATGACTTCTTTCACAGTGCTCAGGATAAGGAAGACGATGAGGGGTTTGATACTGACCTGGAGATGGAAGGTAAGATAAATTTTGATTACGGTAGAGATCTTCTATCGTCAAAACTTAAATATATACGGTTTCGTGTAACAAATGATGAAAGCGAAACGAACTGAAATGACCAATTAGAACCTATGAATTATTTAAAAGTGATTTTCAGAACGAAATGCTCATTGCACTGAAGAAGAAAGTCCTTAAACGAGTTTCACTTTTCTAAGAGTTTATTTAATGAACAGGATTTCAAGTACTCTGCCAGCAATATCCTAACAGGTGTCTTTATTCTCGCAGTCTTAATATTGTATGAAATATCGGCGGAGTTTTCAATTGTTGTTGTATTGGAAGGGATGTCTTTATCAATTATTATCCTACCGATAAATTTTTACTTAATTAATCCCACAAGGATATTTAAGCTTGATCAGTAAACCGATTCCACATAAGAAACTTTTTTTCCGAGGTATTTTTTTCTTCTTTTTTCACTTTAAAATCAAATTTTGCCTCGCGTCTCGAAGGAATTTTTGCGTGTAATAACATGCAAATTAAAGAACGATACGCTTACTACTTTAACAAGAAGTGAATATGTTAGAGTGTTTCTCTCACGAATGTTTTTGTCATTTGAAGGATGAATTTTGTAATTGTGGCTACTCAGGTTTTGCCTGGAAATTGATGAATTACACGTTTAAGCAACTCGTTCTTTTTGTCAAGTTACACGGATAACTATTCGGATTTTAGTGTGATGAAATTCCGTGACTTTTTCCCAGACATGGGCGATTCCATTTCTTATAATAACGTCTATGCATGAATTGTTCTTGAGGGAATTGCATTTGTTATTTAAATTTCTTTTGTTTCTAAATATAGCATTAACAGCTTTGCTGCAAAAATTCCAACCAATACTTTTGTTCAAACCATCATTTTTTTTGCAGGTATTAAGGTATTGCGCTAGCAAAATTTATCAAACATACTGACCTCTATCATGTAGAAGCCCAAAACTATTTTCTAGAAAAAAGCTCACTTTCATTAAATAAATACCTTATGAAGAGAAAGATATTTTTCGTCTTCTCACAAAAATGGGACAAAGGATAAAATTCTGAGTCTCCCAGAGACTCTACCGCGAGCAAGGTCTACTTTGAAGTTCATATGACATGTTTCCTGCATACTACTAGGATCAGCAATGTCGATAGCATCATGTTTGTTAATGGAATAAGAGAGATGGCAAGTTTTGAGCTTGGTAAAGAAATAGAGAAATATGCTTTTTGTCTTGTTATGAGGGTGGAATCCAAAGGTCTGAGGTTTGATTCTTTATGGGGACTCAGAATTTTTTTCTTTGTTCCATGCTTGTGCAAAGACGAAAAACATCTTTCTCTATTTCTTTAACAAGCTTCAAACTTACCCTCTCTTTTATTGTACTTACCTTACAAATAATTTTTTATGCATTCTTCCAAAATTTTAGTACCAATTTATTTGCCTTTTTTATATTATTACAGAGGGTAAAGAAGAGTATGATGTAACTGGAAGAGCAACATATCTCCAAGCTTGCAGGGATTCTGGTGTCATTCCAGTTTCATATTTTCATCGAAACTTGCAACAACCTGACATTGACATCAAGCATCATGGCTTAGGACCAATGGGTGCTAAGGCAATAGCTATAGCTCTAGTGGTGGGTGTCATGGTCAATTTTTCTGATTATCCTGTGCAATGAAAACACTTTTTCATCTCCATCTAACTAGGTGGAGGGTTGTGAGGGGAGGGGAGGGTGAAGTGCACTGACTCACCTCTTCCCTCCCAATGTGTGTTGATGAGGCTATGTTAAGATGGAAAATGTCCTTTGTTACTTTCATGAAATGACTTTAAAGAATACGTGTGTATCTTTAACCCACTAACTCCCATGAGTGACCAAGACAGAATTTCTCCTCACTATATCTTTTACAATATCATGAAGATAAGTGATGAGAATAAAGAAAAATATCAATATCAATATATATAGGATTACTAATTGATCTGATTCTAAATTCTCCAAACTAACATAATGAGAATCTTTTGGAGGACAGTAAAGAAAATTACTAATGGCATCTTGGGAGTTAAAGGGTTTAGGTCAACTGTAATTAAACTCATCTTTTTAACTTTTATAGAATCTCAGGTACTTAAGGAAGTACAGTTGTATACTGTATGTTTTTGGTGTCTCATGCTATTCATTGGACATCAATTTTTATTTTGCATAACAGACTAATACATCAGTTATCAAGTTAAACCTGGCAGATAACTGGATTGGTTCAGAGGGAGCTGGATATATTGCTGAAATGCTACGAGAAAATTGTTACATTGCTGACCTGGTATGACATTATAACACATTTGTTTCTTTTCTAGCAGTTTAGGTATGGTTTCAGATAGTGATCATTGAATATTGCTGGTATTATTTACTCTCACCTTTAACATGTTAAAATAGATGCACCCATAGTATTCAATTATTGTTTTTTAATTATTTTGTCTCAAAGGATTTATCGGAAAACAAACTGGGTGCAGATGGAGCAGAATCTGTGAAAGACATATTACTTCATAACTCAAATATCACCAGATTTGTTGCAAATGGTGAGCATAGAGATCATTTCTGACAAGATTTGTTTGAGCCAACCTGTAAGGTTATTGAGTCCACAAGAGAAAGTTCAAACAGTTGAGAAAGACTAGATGTTAAAGTAGAAATGACAGAAAGTAGTTAGATATTAGATCATTATCTGTACTACTCCAAACTAATCTGTACCATCCATTTGCTGTGACGAAGTGTTGGAGACTGGGCTGGAATGTTGTTGAGTTTGATTGACACTGCATGTGACTGCAGTCATGCATGTCTGTTTGGAGAGATGGTTTTTTTTTTCTTAGAAAAAGGCATGGGAGAATAAAACAACAGTTGTGTTTATAGAAAGAAAACCTGTAATTGTGAATTAAGGATACTAAAGTTCTATTGCCACAGAGGCATCATCGATAAAAGAGCCAACACTGGAAATGTTAGCTTTAGTAACTCAGTCGATAAAATCAAATTATCTTGTCATACCCTCACTGATGCAGCACCTCCTTTATGCATACTACTGTTAGGGATGGTATTTGTTACTGCTTGCTCCAAATCAGGAATATCTCACTGCTTTTTTCAAAAATTAATATTATCTTCTAGGCAATGGTTTTGATGACAAGGCTGTTCAGATTCTGGCAGAAGCTATAAAGGTAGGGGAAACCCTAGTAAAAGTATAAACTAAGTACTTTCATTGACAAATGAACAAACTTTTAACAATGTAAATTTTCTCTACTCTATGTTTTAGAATAATACCAAAGTGAAGTATTTTAGCTTGAGTCATAACCAGTTGGGAGAAAAAGGTGGCCAGAATTTAGCCCCTGCAATAGGTAAGTAATATTTTTATATTTATTTAGTTAGATTTAGTCAATAGTTATAATTCTTTTGAAATTAGAGGTCACAAGATTTCAGGAATGATAAAATCATCGTAGTATTAACCAATATACAATGAAAGAATTTGCTTGAATTTTTAGGTTGTGGTATAACGATTTGACTGGTCTAAAGAGCTCAGGGTAGCATCCTTATAATTTTTTTTTCTCACTAGCTGCAAATGATAAAATTGACCATTTGGATCTGAGCTGGAATCATTTGAGAAATAAAGGAGCTTGTGCTGTGGCATTATCTCTGAAGGTTAGTTGAAGTGAATCTTGTCTCTACTTCTCACACTAACTATAGATAACAAAATTCATCATTCAACGTTCCTTCTGATCATCTTTCTTGATAATGGAGAATGGGTAAACAAACTCTCCTCTGTCAGACAATAGAGGAGTAGGTTATGATAATACACCTTTCAAACTTGTTTCAGATTGTATTTTAGTGACAGTGCCTGGCCATTCGTTACAGCACTCTTCATTTTGATAAAGAGAAGTCTTAAAGATACATTTTAAATACTACTATGATTTTATTTTATTTTTCAACGGGTTTAAGAGCCCAATTGAGTGATCGTTGTGTGTTGATTCTGTTTTAACTGTGGGAGACACAGTTAAAACAGAGGACTCTGGCTCAAGAGGTCTGGGTTCCAGACCTGGCCAGGTCGATGTGTTGTGTTGTTGGGCAGGACAGTCAGGAAAGCCTGCTGAAATGTTGAGGAGTAATTGACATCCCATCAAGGAAGGAGTAGTAATACTCCTAGTTGCTTCATGCTATGGAAACAGAGATAAGCTGCGGCTGGGTGGGCCACTAATGGCTCAAGTAAACCTTAAACTTTGCTTTAACTATTGCAGGAGAATTTTACTCTTAAAATTCTTAACTTAGCATGGAATGGATTTGGAAATGATGGGTCTTTAGCCATGGGGGAAGCGCTAAAAGTGAACACAACGTTAAGAGAGTTAGATCTGACGTAAGTGGAAAAAAGAGGCTTTATCATTTAGATTGCTTATTGTATAAATAAAACGAAAGAGATTCCAACATCCAGCAAGGAGGAAATGTTACAAGGAGCCAACCAGAACTCAAGATAAAAGCAATTGAATTGCTGGAAGTGCAAGAAATAGTGGGTGACAAAGGCGCGATCGGTTTTAGGTTTTTATGATGGGTATCTTTCACCTCTGTTTACCTCCATTTTGCTAGCTTTAGGAAAGGGAATGTTTAGCTGTCTGTTTCAAGCGGTGAATTACTATGAACCATTTAAACTATTTTGAAAAGCAGATTTTTAATTGGGCATCTAAGATTTTATTATCATTTTAATTTCAGGAATAACAGAATAACGGCGGAAGGTGCAGTGTATTTGGCGAAAGGTTTAATGGTTAACACGTGTCTTCAGGTGTTAAAGGTAGGCCTGCAAAATTTTCACATGGTTTGATTTTAAAAGGCGAATTCCAATATTTGCGTTTATTTCTATTCCAGTGATTTCTAAATATTTATTTATTTGCCTCTTTTTACAAAGTTAATGTTAAAATATTTAAAACTTTGTTTTAGATTGGAAAGAACCCGATGCAAAGTCCTGGAGCGTATGCTCTTGTGAACGCCATGAAAAATAATCTGGAATCAAAATTGATTGAGGTTGAACTGACGGTGAGGCTTAGAGATATGAAAAACAAATTTTTCCTTGTAGATAAGCAATTTTACTCAAATCCTTATCACATAAAAGTCGAAGATAAAAGGAGTCTTCATGACAACAACCCCCTTAAAAGGAATCTGAAAATTATCCCAAGGATCGAATTACCAAAAACCGAGGTGGGATCGAGTTGGAATTTCACCGACTGATTTACAAGGCTATACTGGAGCAGTTCTCGGTTATGAATTTTATTTGGATGTTCCCTTTTCAATGGAACGAGAGCCAGGTCTCCATGTAGTCTCTTAGTAGGCCATGCTTTACAGTTTTGTCAATCAAAACCGCTCATTAGAGACTGGGTTCGTGTCGTGGTCTTGGAAAATCTGGAAAGTCCTTAAATTTTATTTTGACAGTTTCCAGGACTCGAAAGTCCTGGAAAAGGACTACAGGTCTTGAAAAGTCTTGAAAACCTTGCGAACTTAAGCAAAAAACTACAAGAAATTGATGTAGACCGTAAGGAGAATTGATTTTGAAATCATGGGAAAAATCAATCTGAGACGTGGAAAAGTCCTTGAAATGTGTTTCTGAGACAGGGTACGAACCCTGTAGAAAAAACAATCTCGAAAAATTTTTTGGAGAGGCTATCGTGGTAGTGGCTATCCTAAATTTACCATGATTTCTCTCTTCTGTAAGCTTCTTACACAGTTGATGCACTTTTTTAGGACATCACGGTTAATAATGACTTTGTGGAGTTGTGTAAAGAAGTGCAGCAACTTAGACCTGACATGAAAATTAGACACGGAGGAACAGGGGGTGCACCATTTAAACCCAAGAATCGTCCAACGCCCATGAAAATACTAAAGAATTACATAGAGGATAATAAGATGCGACTGTTGGATCTGTTCAATACTCTGGACAAGGATAAAAGCATGAATATCACTGTGAAAGAATTTGCTGATGGATTAAAGGTGAGGTCCTTGTCTGATCTATTTTCAGATATGGATTGTAGGTGTATATTGGCTAATAGAATGACTTGTATGTCCAAATTTGGTCATGTTCGATCCCATTCTCACCGGTAACAACTTCATAGACTAGCGCTTTCCTCTTGACCAAACAGACGCTGAACCAAAACATTGTGTTACATTGCTATTCGCGCTTTCCCGCGCTTGGGGTCGTTTGAACGTTTGTCCTTTGTTCGTTCTGATTGGCCAGTATGTTTGCCCTGGTTCTGGTTGTATTCAGTTCAAAAATGCTCTATTGGCGCTTTAACTCCTAGAAG